TGGAAGACCCTGTACTGCTAAAGAGGGGCTATGGAGATGAATGCCGGTAGATCGAGTCTGAGCTGGTGACCAATGAGGCCTATTTTACCCTTTTATATTAATTAAAGGTAAAAATTGATTGTGCCATCTCTTTTTTTACTGATGCAAAGGGTACACCTTTTTTGACTGTGCTTTATGGGAATCGTACAAAACTAATGGAATAAAAAATTTAACATGCATGGTGATTTCTACCAAAATCTGATAAAATTCAAAATTAAAATCGATACCAGACATGAGCATAATATTAAGTTCACGTGAAAAAACTTCACGTTAATAGTAGTTGCAATACAGTACGGGTAGAACCCCAGTATTTTTTGTAATTGATGCTTTCCACCCTATAAAGAAACAAACACTTCAAAGCCTCTTAAAGCGGCATGAATCTAGATCCTCCTACCCTTCCGCCATGGCATTTACTGAAGCAGAATCTGGTTCATAAGATTGTACACATAGTAGCAGAGATATTTCCAATGGCCAGGGCTACCTCAAATGCTTTTAATGCTGCATTCCATTTGTTCTGAAGATATAAAAAGAAAAAAATTCCAAGTTGTCCCAGTTTAGCAAGATTTTTTTTCAAGCATATAACAACTTAAGAATGCAGAAACTGACCACTTTACGTGCTGGAACAATTGCTGTTGAAACAGTACCATGGCTTGGATTTGGAGGATGTACCTGCCAGAAAAAAACAATTAATAGGAAAATTTTACATCATTCTTCATGTCAAATTGTTAGTTCTTCGTTAAATTTTGTGACCAGTCTTTGATTTATTTAAATTTCCTCAATATAAACTATAGAAAATATTGTATGATAGTTTGTATGTACAAATCTCAAATTTTTGTATTAGCAATTTATTTAGAGTCAAACACAAATTTATCTAGCAATAAATTGCCAAAACTAACACGCTGAAAATCAAAGATATTTTTGCATGAACAATCAAAGTCTCGAGCTTAAAATACTGAAAATGGTCCGACCTGATTGACACCAATATTTAACGAAAATGAACTTTTACAGGACATTATCAAAATGTGTTAGACATACCTTGTTTGAATTAATCCGTATTGCCAGTGATGAATCTTGTTTGGCTTGGAGCAATGTGTAGTTGTCCAAAAACTGAGTGCGACCGTTGTGATTGTGATCACATTTAGTAGACTGATAACAATGACCGCAAAGGGTGAAAGAGCAATCCACACATGAGAAAAATATTCCCGGTACAAACTTCGCACAACACTTGCAAAATGGCCTTCCACTTTTTATGATGTAGTATAAAGTCATTACCTCCCTGAAATCCAGTGTGCCATTCCCATCTCTATCTAACTTCTTGAAAAAGCAAGGATTATGCATCTGGGGAAGGCCTTCCTGACTCACGAATGCTAGGAACTCATGCAGATCAATCTTCCCATCGCCGTCACTATCCATAGAATTGAAGAATTCTTGTGCTTTAGCCTGAACTTGTTGAGAACCTGCTTGAAAATGAGCTATTGCAATCTTGCGCAACTCTTCCATCTCTCTCTGTCAATTCATATAATCCAATATAAACACCGTTGGTCAAAAGAAAGTAGCAAAGCTCCAAATTCGTTAGCTAATTAGTTGCCAAATTTTTTTTTATTAAATTAAATACATTAAAAGTGTAATCATCCCATGATTCATTGTTTAATGCAATTGTGATGCATTTTATGATGAGTCAATAAGCCACTGTCATCTAGACTCGTGATAATCACCATTGTTAGGTTCAAATTATATAATTGGCAATTTCCTTAGTCAAAATCATATTTTAGTTGAATTGTATTAAGAGTTAATCGATTTGTAATCAAAGTCAAAATATGAGTTATTGAGTCTTAGTTATAGTAAAAATAGTTGTGAGTTGATAGAGTCCTAATAAGAGTTGAAGACAATTAAAAGATCAAGAAACAGACCTACAACAACAAAATTGAAGCAGAACCATTGGCACGTGCTTGGCGCTTGAGTGGTGGTATTATCAAGCCAAAATCCTAATTCGATTTTAACTGTGATTTTCAATCCCTTTTCACCTAAACACTATCCATTATAAATGTGCAAGCCATGGAACATCTCAAAGTGTGGTTGAACATTATATTCATTATATAGATCATTTTTGGAAGATTATAAACTCATTCCAAAAGATCTCTTGATTCAATCACAAATATATTTTCCATATTTGTTCCCATATATCGTTTTCCATAGGTTGAGCCTTTGTTTTGAAGTTTGGAGAAGAGGCGCTTGGAGTTCAGACGTTGAAGAATGAGGTTCGTTCTTGGTGGTCCAATAGAGAGAAAAGTGACCTAGAGTTACGGGTGTTCACAACCAAATGAGTTCCCTCGTGATTTACAAGTTAGGTAGCTATTCTGGTGGATCGTTTACTTGCATGTTTGGCCAAAGGATTTTGATCCTAACTTGGGATTTTCCTCTGTGATCAATTCTTGGTGTTATTTATTTTATTGCTCTGATGTGAATATTTGTTTGATTGACATTTAGGATTAATTTAATTGAATTAATTACCTTAATCATCTATAAACAATTAAAAAGTGAATTGTTGCTTCTAACTAGTTTAATTCCGCATTTGGGTATAAACAACGATTATTTCCTACAAGTGGTATTAGCGCAGTACTTATTTATGAAAATTTCAATCACTAATAATGAATAGAATTATTCTTACCAGAAGCATCTAATCCTAGCTGACAGAAAAGCTTATTTGAACTTAAGAAACATTTGGATTATTGTTTTAAATCTCAAGTTGCACAAGTTGTATAATGTACCTTCTCTTGAGTACTTTCTTCGTTTACCCTACGATTCACCTTCTCTTGAGTCCTTTCTTCCTTTCCCCTACGATACATGAACCACCTAAGCAGAGAATGGTGATCGAAGAAGTATCTGATTGAGTGCTCGTGTTCGAATTTCCCTTCACGGTAACAGTCACAACAAAGGTCAACTGAATTGGGATATTTCGGTAGACATAGAAGGCAAGAAAAGAATTGGCCAAGTAGTAAATCACGGCAACCACTGCAGTAAAGAGATAAGTTTCTGTTCTCCATGTAGTAAATGGCTAAAACTTCATTAAAACCCAGAGTTCCCTTACCCTTTGCATCAAGTTGTTTGAATACTTTCTCACTTGATAACCATGAACTCACAGACTTCTTGAACTCCAATAAGCTGACTTTTCCGTCTCTGTTTCGATCCAACTCGTTGAAGTATTCTTGTGCTTTTTTCTTTTCCTCTTCAGTTGCTCTTTCATAGTAAGCTATTGCAAATTCTTTGATCCCCTCCATCTCTCTCTCTCTCTCTCTCTCTCTCTCTCTCTTGCTGCAAATAGTTTAATGAGAGGATAGAAAATGACCAGGAATTGTGTTTTTGCTTTGTAATTTTCACATCTTCCAGAGAAATAACTGACAAAAGGAGACGACTTGGATTATCATCTGAGTCAATGCCTCTTACTTGGTAGGTTGCTGTTGCAAATTATAGAAATAAATGTAAATAGCTAAGGGATGAAAAAAAATTATTATTATAACATGTTGTTAACTTATTTTTAAAATATTGTGCAACTTCTCTAATTATATAATTAGAGCAATTTTTTCTCCCATTCAAATTGTGATACATATATTGAAAATCCCTACAATATAAAAAGAGAG